GCCTAAGCACCAGCTACCGTGTGCCAAATGTTTCCAAATACTAACTCGCCTGATAGTGTTAACAACCCTGTGGGTCGATGTTAGCCTCTATTTTACAGATGCAGAAAGGGAGGCTCAGAGAAGCGAAGTCATTGCCCAAAGGCACCCAGATGACAAAGGGCAGAGCCGGGACGAGCGCCCAGGGAGTCTGGCTCCAGACTTTATGCTCTTAACGGCCACGCTGGTCTCTTTCCATTCCCTTATCTGAAAAATTGGCCTAATCATGCCTATTTCATAAATAGTAGTAAAAGGATTACCAGTGATTAGGTGAAAAAAATGCAGGGCCAAGGCAGAGGCAGCCAGCCAGTGTCGCTCTTCCTGGGACCAGCAGGGGGAGCGCTGGGACCAGAAGAGACTTAGCCTCGGAGGCCCAATTCCGTGTTCCCAGCTCTTTTTTAAAAAAAAATATATTTTATTGATTTTTTACAGAGAGGAAGGGAGAGAGTTAGAAACATCGATGAGAGAGAAACATAGATCAGCTGCCTTCCGCATACCCCCTACTGGGGATGTGCCCGCCACCTAGTGACCGGAATCGAACCTGGGACCCTTCAGTCCACAGGTGGACGCTCTATCCACTGAGCCAAACTGGCTAGGGCTTCCCAGCTCTTTTATCTAGTTTACCCTTGGTCTCCTTGCTGCAGCCAGAATCATGTTTAGAAAACAAATCTAATCAGGCCACTCACCTTAAAACCCTCCATGCAGAGAACAACAATACCCCACTCTGGGGGGTTCCCGTCACTCTAAGTACAAGGTCTGTATCAGAGCCAGAAGGTCCTCCTTACTCTGCAGCCTCATTTCTCAGAAAGAAGAGACAGCCTGGAGCAGGGCCAGTCTGCAACTGGGGGCCTCTGATACCCCCACCACAATCTCAGCACGAGTCCTGTGTCAGACCATCCCATGCCTCCTGCATCATGCCCACAGCTTCTAGAACTCACAGGCTATCGTGAACACACTTGGGCATCTCAGCTTTCCAGCAAAGAAAAAGAAAAGTGTCCGCCCTTGGGGACCTCCCCCCACCCTGTCCTGACTGTCCCCTCCTCGGCTGGCCCTACCTGGCTGGTAGAAGTCTGGAGCCAGCTCTCTGGCCAAACTGCGGGCAACGTTGCACTCTTGGTTGGCAGCCAGGGCGGCCTGTTCTGCAGCCTCAGCTTTGGCCTTGGCATGGCTTGTCCTAGGAGACAACATGATGGAAACTCAGCATCCTTCCAGAGAACCAGCCCTCTGTCCCTTCTCCCCAACTCACAAAGGGACACCTTGGACGGAGCATTCATTCACTCAGGCTGTAATGAATATTTATTGAGGCCTGTGGCCCAATACTGTGCATTCCCCAGACCTTTTCCTCTTCTTTCTGGGCATACAGATAGACATTTCCCAGCCTCCCTTGCAGCTAGGCATGGTCAGGTGACTGAGTCTTAGGTAATGCATTGTGGGAAAGAGTGATGTGTGCTCTTTCCAGGCCTGGCCCATAAAAACTTCTTGCACGACTTTCGTGCATCGGGCCTCTAGTTATTTAATAAACTGGAACTGGATTAAGAGTACTTCATTGTGGGTCATGAGATATGCCATGAAGGAAGAATAGAGAAGGCAATGAAAATGTAGAGGAGAGAGACTTGCTAGAGATGGGGAGGGGGTGTCAGGGAAGGTTTCCTTGAGGATGTAACATCTGCGGTGAGACCTGAAGACATACTTAAATTAGGCTCCTACGAGGTGAGGTGGGGACAGCAAGCCAGGTAGAGGGAAGAGCATGTGCAAAGGCCCTGAGAGGGGGCAAGAGTGCAGTGCCTTGGGGAACTGAAAGGTCAAATTAGTGCTCACATGTGCAGGTGAGTTATTCCTCAGCCAGGGGTGCCCCTGTGTCTCTGTATCTCAATCTCCAGCACAGAATTGGGCCCCCAATAAGGGAGATACGTTTTACTAAGCTCCTACCATGTGCCAAGCCCTTTATGTTATCCCTTTCGATCCTCAAAACTGCCTGGGAGGTAGTTTTTACTGTCCCTACTTCACAGGTGGGGAAACTGAGTCTCAGACAGGTATATTGCCCAAGGAAGCAAAATAATAGTTAACACTTACAAAGTATTTACTATATGCCAAGGACTTTACAGAAATTAACTCACTTAATTTCCCCAATAACTGCATGTGGCAAATGTTATCATCATCATCCCCCTTTACAGAGGAGAAATCCAGGCCACAAGAGTGCTTTAAGGCTCTCGCCCAAACTTACACAGCCAGCAAGTGACAGAGTGAGATTTTGAACCAAGGCATTCTGGGAGCTAGAGTCTGTGTCCTTAACCACAGACTATGCTTCCACTCGATAGTGAGTAGTGGAGCCCGGCTGGAGTGGCTCAGTTGGTTGAGCATCATCCCATGTGCTAAAGGTTTGACTCCTGGTCAGGGCACATGCCCGAGTTTCATGCTCAATCCCTGGCAGGGGGCATGTAAGAGGCAGCCGGCAGCCGATCAATGTTTTGCTCTCACATTGATGTTTCTCTTTTACTCCCTCTCCCTTTAAAAATATTTTTTAAAAATAGTGAGTAGTGGAGTTCAAGCCCAGAACTACCTGAGCTCCAAGCCTCTGGCCGCTCCACTCTGCCATGATGATGTTTACTGAAGGAGAGCATGTTTTACCGAATGAAAGTATACATAAACGAATGCACCATGCACATATGTAAGGCAAGGGGGCAGCATAGGGGACAGTGAAGAGTGTGGCTTTGCAGTCAGCAGCCCTGGACTCCAATTTTGGCTGTGCCAAGGCTGGGGCCAGGCTGACGCCAAAAGCCATCCACCTCGGGCTCTAAATTTAGGGGGATGCCAAAATATTGGTAATTGAGATACATAATATTTTAATGAGATATTTTTAAAAGTCAAAATTCATGCAAAGAAAAAGCCTTGATGAATAAGCTATGAACAAATTTAAATAAAGATCAGGTCAGACCCAGCACTTGCACAAGTCCCCCTCGCTCTCCTCACCTCTGTCCCAATACCACTGGGACTCTAGGACCTTGGGTGAGTGAGTGTCTTTGCCTCTCTGTGCCTCAGTTTCTTCAACTGTAGGATAATAATTCTCCCCTCTTGGAGGTGCTGTGAAAACTGAGAGGCCGCACATGAAAGTGTGTAACAGCCCAAGATGGGGCTGAGTGATGATGATGATAATGGTGTTTTTGGTGGTGGTTGTGGTGGTGATTGTGGTGTGCAGAGGAGAGGAGGAGGAGGAGGAGGAGGAGGAGACGACATTTGTGACATCAAAACTCACTGTGCTACATGCATTTCCCAGGCTCATGTTTGCCGGTCCATGGGTATGTGTGATTCAAAGTTCTAAACTTTTCAGAGACACGTACGTCCCTGGAAACCTGAAACCCCAGGTGGGGGGAGCAGGGAACGGGCTGGGCAAACCTTCCAACTG